ATCTTGAGCTTTGCTCCTCCTTCCGGCTTCTAATTTTTTGTCTATTATTTCTTGGGTACCTAGGGGTCCCTGTTAGGGTGCCAGATGTTGGGGTCCAGCCCCATCAGGTCCAGGGGTTCCCAAAGGTGTGGACGGAGTCAGCGAAGAAGGAATGACACAGAGACAGCGTTCAGTTGATCAGCAGCCTAGCCAGGATCTCCAGCCAAGTTCTGTGTTTTATTGTCTTGTTACATCTGTATTTATACCAGTTGATTTTAATCCTATCAATTTCTATTCCAAAGGTTAGGGCGTTTCTTATCTCCATTCCAGGGAGTAAAGATTATGTAGCTTAAGCATGATTGTTCATAGTTCAAGTGATTAACTACCCGCCTGGCACTTAGTTAAGGGGTTTTATTCCCTCCCTAACTTCAGGGAAAAATCCCTACCTGGGGAAACAACCCTACTCTGAGAGGTGACCTTGGTTAAAACACATAGCGCCAAGAAGGGGAGCAAACATATTAAGAACAGTATGCCATATATGCCAGGTCCCTTGAAACATATGCTGTGCAGATGTTTCTTTCCTGCAGCGACTGTGTCAAGCAGCAAGGATGGACCGGCTTCTGACAAGTGCGATTGAAACTTTGTGGCCCATGCTCAGAAGTCGGTTTTCGGCCTGGGCGAGTCTATTCTGAAGAAGTGGCGTTAGAAGAAGTGGTGGGTGTCGGTTGGTCGGGCGACAGGAGACACGGCGCAGATGGGCCACAGGATACACAGCCCGGGGGAGGCGCGAGCGATTCATGCATGAGTTGAGTGAGCCAGTCAGTCAGCAGTCTCATGTGTAGTGGTTAGTGCTAGTCGCATCGCGCACGGGTGACAAAAGTACCTACTCGAAGCATAAAGTTACCTGTATTTTTCCAACCAGCTGCAAATCCTACAGGTATTTTTGTCATCAATTTAAGAATTATAATTCTTTTGTGTTGGTGGCTTTATTATTATAAAATGAAACATTTTTTAGGTGCCCTGTTTGACATGGCTACAAAGAAGAAGCAAAGAAAAACGGAAGATGAAAACCGTGAATTTAAAGTTGAATGGATGGAGACTTTCGCATTTATTCAAAACTTAAATGGCCTTCCGACCTGTCTTATTTGTGAGGAAAAATTGGTGCATAACAAGAAATCAAAATTGGAGAGACACTTTACAACTAAACACATGTCATTTAGTACTATATATCCTGTCGGTGATGCAAGGAAGAAAGCAGTTGAGGAACTTCAGAAGAGTCAAGAATAATCAAGTTCTGTATTTAATTACTGGATGCAATCTTCCAACAATGTTAATATTGCAAGTTTTGTGGTTAGTCAAGAGATTGCTAAGAGAGGAAAACCATATACAGACGGTGAATACATAAAAAGTTGTTTTATAAACGCATCCGAAGAGCTATTTAGGGATTTTAAGAACAAAGCAGATATTCTAAAAAAAATTAAAGAGTTACTATTGTCTGCTAAAACAGTGAAAGATAGAACAGTCAAAATGTCTTCGAATATAACCAACCAGCAAGTCGAAGATCTTAAATTGGTTTCAGCTTTATCAATAGCAGTTGACGAGTCTTGTGACATAAATGATACAGCGCAAGTTTCACTTTTTGTACGATTTATTTCACCTACAGGTCCTAAAGAAGAACTTTTAGGATTATTGCCACTCAAAGGTCAAACACGTGGAGACGATATAGCAAATGCTGTAATTGAGTGCATTGAAAAACAGCACATTCCACTCGATAAAATTGTCTCAATTTCAACAGACGGGTCAAAAAGTATGACCAGCATAAGAAACGGGTTTGTTGCTATTTTGAAAGAAAAAATAAATCACGAGATACTTACTTACCATTGCATCATTCATCAAGAAGTGCTTTGTGCACAGACATTTCCAGAAGAAATTTGCAAAGTTATGGAATTGGTGATTAAGATTATCAACTCCATTACAGCTAAAGCTCTTAATCATCGCCAATTTAAAGAATTTTTAGTTGAAATGGAGAGTGCGTACGAAGATCTTCAGCTGCATAACAAGGTACGTTGGTTAGCAAGAGGAAACGTTTTGAAACGTTTCGCTTCCTTATTAACAGAAATTAAAGCATTTCTCCTTGAGAAGGGTGTTCATTATCCAGAACTAACAAATGATCAGTGGATCCAAAAATTTTATTTCATGGTAGACGTTACGTCTCATCTAAATCAGCTTAATCATAAACTACAGGGGAAAGGAAACACAGTTTTTGGGATGTTAGGAGAAGTTATTTCATTCGAAATCAAATTATCTCTTTTTGCTCAAGATTTTGAAAGAGAAACTTTGATTCACTTTCCAAGCCTGTTGAAACATCGACAAGAAAATAATTCTGATATTGACATTTGCTATTTCAAAACAACACTTTTAAATATGAGGGAAGCTTTTCTCAACAGGTTTCAAAATTCACAAACAGCAAAGCGATGTTAGCCTTTGTTAAAAAAACCTCTCAATGCTACTGTAACAGAATTAAATTTTTCTCCCTTTAATATTGACATTGGCAACTTTGAAATGCAATTACTGGATTTAAAGAACAAAGAACTGTGGAGCTTGAAATGTGAACGTCTTTGTGCTGATATAGAAATATTGGAGAAAAACAAATGTGAACTTAGTTCACAGCACAAGTGGTCTGCTTTGAAAGACCTGGAGAAGAAAGATATATTGATTTTTAACACCTGGAATAGTATTCCTGACTCATATAATCAACTGAAAAAACTAGCATGCACTGTTCTTTCCTTATTCAGGTCTACATATTTATGCGAACAACCATTTTCAAGCAGGAACCTTATCAAGAGTAAATTGAGAAGTCGTCTTATTGATGAGAACCTGGAATCCTGCCTAAAATTAAAAACAACATACAAACCTGACTTACCCAAACTTTCCAAGGAGATGCAAGGCCATTGTTCACATTAGTGTTTGTCAGTCATTGCCATGATTTAATTTTATGGCTATTGTAAGGTAAATTGTAAGGAATTTAATTTAATCAATAAATAATATTGTTATTAAGTATGATATCAAGTTTTTTTCAACATACCTATAGTTTAACTAAGACTTAAAACTTCAAGTAAAGCTTATTAAGTTAATTTTAGGGAACATTGTGGAGTGAAAGATGTAGTGTCGAGGATTGAGAAAGGTATGTTGAGATGGTTTGGACATATAGAGAGGATGAACGAAAGGAGATAGACGAAACAAGTATACAAGATGAGTGTGGATGGGAGAGTTGGAAGGGGTCGACCTCAGCGAACGTACCTCAATCAGATTGAGGAAGTTTTTAGCAAAGGCCAGCTTAGGAGTACCCTAATTAAGTTAATAACAATGTACCTACCTATATAGTTTAAGTTTAAAAAATTTGGCTCTCAAAAGAAATTTCAATCATTGTACTATTGATATTTGGCTCTGCTGACTAATGAGTTTGCCGATCACTGCTTTAGTATAAGCTGTTCTCTAGTCCACATTTCAGTCAATGGACCAAATGGTTAAAGCCTATTCCATCTGCTGAAACTAAAACTTGAATCCAGAATCTCTCATACTTGACCCCATATAAATAAAATTATCCTGCTCCAACAACATATTCTTCCACAATTATCCCAAACCTTTAAGATCCATTCTCACACACATTACCACTATTTCTGTTGCTATAAATTGGACCCGAAAAGAATAATAATACAGTTCTTTCAGTGTATAGTGAACCTCCTCTTGGGTTAAAATCTCTACCTCAACTTTTGGGGCCTTCTGTGAACTGAATCCAATCATAGGTTTAGAATCCAACGCGATATTAAACAGTACTTCCTTCGGAGAGTAAGTAGGGCCTTGTCAGACAACTGCTTCAGGGAGGCCATTGTGGTTTTTTTAGGCAAAGATGTAAGAACTGCTTTTCCTGGGGGGTGGGGGGGAGACTTGGCAGAATTTAGGGGTTCAATATTCCCCAGCTTTATCAGGAGCTTCCTATATGACCCCATTCTAATTTTAAGGAACTCATTCCTTCCCAATAAATGCCCTCAGTTTAATAGCACCCTGGGAGGGAATTCAATTTGCATTTAATTTAGTCAACCACAATATGCGACTCTGGGTTTGGTTCTCAGAAAGCATAGTCCTGAAACTAGGGTAGACAAGAGTTTTTTCAGGGAAGATGTTGAAGCTTTAAAGTGATTTATGCAGGGCTCATGCTGGGAATTTCAAGCCTAGAATTCATTCTTATTTTTTTTCCATTTGTTCCAGCACAGGTAGGACAACCAGTCAATCCCATTATACTAATTAGTTTGACTAAAATATCCTAACATAGCAAATACATGGTTACCCAGAACCTCACCTTCTGGTGAGTACTCCTTTGATAGGGAGTATTCAGTGGTAATATTTTGCATACCTCTGTTGCCACATCAAACCATGGACCATCAGTGCTGTCTTTACTAAGAGCAATAGAGTCATTGGTAACTTTAAATCTATCAACTAGAGAATCAATTCCAGAAAATCCAGAACCAATTCAGAAAATTCATCCTTCAGATTTTGTTCCTCTCGCCTCACCAAAATTTGTATCAGTTAGGACTCACAGTAAGAGGTGTGAAATACTAAATATATTGTAAGGAGTGTGTTCATGTAGTTGTCAGGTCTGATAAAGCAAGTCCAAAATCTGTTGGACATGATGTTAGAAAGGGCAACCTGGAATTCTTAGGCACATGCTGAAGCTGCAATCTGCAGGTAGAGCTGCTTCTACTTCAGGGATGCCTCAGCTCTGCTCTTAAGGCCTTTCAACAGAATGAATCTAACCCATAATCTTCTTTAAATTAAACTGATTATGGACTTTAATCAGATTTACAGAATACCTTCTAGCAAAACCTAGATTAGCATTTGATGGATAACTCGGGACTATTGCCTAGCCAAGTTGGCACATCAAAAGACTACCATATGCTTCTGTATTTTTAAAGATAGAGCAGGTTCTACTTTTGTAATTAAAAATCATAAACATGACGAATATGGTGCCAAAAGCTAAGAAGGAAGCCCCTGCCCCTCCCAAAGCTGAAGCCAAAGCAAAGGCTTTGAAGGCAAAGAAAGCAGTGTTGAAAGGCATCCACAGCCACACACACACACACACAAAAACCCATACGTCACCCACCTTCCGACAGCCAAAGACACTGAGGCTCCGGAGGCAGCCTAAACATCCTCAGAAGAAAACACCCAGGCGAAACAAGCTTGACCACTATGCCATCATCAACTTCCGCCTGACTACCAAGTTAGCCATGGAGAAGATAGAAGACAACAGCACACTAGTGCAGTGATGGCGAACCTATGGCACGCATGTCAGAGGTGACACACGAACTCATTTTTTTGGTTGATTTTTCTTTGTTAAATGGCATTTAAATATATAAAATAAATATCAAAAATATAAGTCTTTGTTTTACTACGGTTACAAATATCAAAAAATTTCTATATGTGACATGGTACCAGAGTTAAGTTAGGGTTTTTCAAAATGCTGACACGCCGAGCTCAAAAGGTTCGCTATCACTGCACTAGTGTTCATTGTGGATGTCAAGGCCAACAAGCACCAGATCAAACAGGCTGTGAAGAAGCTCTATGACATTGATGTAGCCAAGGTCAACACCCTGATCAGGCCTGGTGGAGAGAAGAAGGCATATGTTCGACTGGCTCCTCACTATGATGCTTTGGATGTTGCTAACAAAATTGGGACCGTCTAAACTGAGTCCAGCTGCCTAATTATATATATAAAAATGTTACACTGGAAAAACATAAAAATAAAAACCATAAATATATGATTGAAAATTTTTCTATTTAAATGATAGCAGATATGTTAGACTGAAGGTTTTTTTCTTCTTTGTACTTAGGCAACAACATAATTGAATCTCTTTCCCCCCTTTCTTTCATACTTGGCCCATCCTCCCTGCATTTGAGCTATCCAAGAGTAATGATGCAATACATGTAAAAGTTCTTGGATGGTAATTCCAAATTAATACAGCTTCTGAAGGTAGTTTTCTTTTCCTAAAATGATAGGCTATACACTGAGAGAATTTTACTTTTAAGTCCCAGTAGCTCCATCATCTTCTATCACATCAAAACCACTAGTCATCCTTTATGATATTCTGAATTTTTAATTTTAAGTGAATAAAAAGTACACAATGACTATTGGTTAATGAAATAAAAGACATATTCATTTAAAAATAAGAAGGGAGACACTTTGCCTTAGTTTCTTAAACAGCGCAGGGATAGATAGTCCAGTTCTACACAGTTTAATATTCTGTAATCTTGTTTAGTCTATGTTATGCTCCTAAATAGTTCAGCAGAAAGATTTTAACCTACTATTTCCATTCACATAAATTAATTTTCCAGGAAATCTCTATGCTGTCTCTTTTCATTGGTAAAGAAATGACTAACCAGTCAACCAGCAATGTTGGTGTCTTTGGCTGCAAAACAGGGTGACTTCTTTTCAATAAAGACCCTAGAGAAATTCATCTGTGTTCTGAACACATATTTATCTCAATTAATTTTTTCAAAACAAAAACAGACTCCTAATTAAATCACACTGGACATAAACCAAAAGTGTAAGGAGAACCGAATCACATTTCAAAGAATACATAATTTTAAAATAGGAGGAAGATGTTGCATAGGAATTAACACAAAGGACCCATTAATTTGTTATTTGTGAGTTCTAAATAAGTAACGGATTTTTCTCCTAAGCTAACATTTTGTGATTTCTGTGCTGTTTTATCATTTTCATCAAGGACTGAAAGTATGTAATGTACAGCATGCTGACTACATTTAATAATAGTGTGTTATGTATTTGAAAGTTGCTGAGAGTAGATATTACATGTTCTCACCACAAAAAGGGTTAACTATGTGAGATGATGAATTTGTTAATTACCTTGATCTAGATCATCATTCCACGATGTCATCACGTTGGAGACGTTAAATATATACAATTATATTTGTCAGTTATGCCTCATAAAGTGGGGGAAAAACTCAATGGAAATGTTGTCTTATGTTGAGTTGCTTCCTTAGAATTATTGCTTTAAAGGAAACCAATACACTTGACTGCAGAGAAGTTGGGGAAGGACATTGTTTACGTGCCTTTGGAGTGTTTGTCCTCTCAGTCTGAGAGACATGGGTGGAGCTTCCTGCCCGAGAATGGTCTGAGGAGATCAGAGCCACTGTCTGTGGGGAGTTATCATTTTGTCTCTCTAAAATAGAAGATTCCCGGGATGGGTGGGGTGGATCAGGATATTTATATAATTTTTTATAGTTGACAAGGCACTTCCTTCAATTATTTTATTTAATCATCTAATCCTCACAATAATCCAATAAATTAGGTACTATTGCCTCTATTTTTAAAAAGAAGAATTTGAACCTTTGCAAAACGAAGTTCCTCACCCAACTTCACATAGCATTTAGCTACATTTCTAACTCACAGGTTTTTTTATTAAGTCATTTTTGTAACATATCTTATGCTGGGTAAATACCTCGGATTTCAATTAGAGATAAATAAAGCTCAAGTCTCCAGACAATATCTGCAACCTCAACAACCTCTTTCTTCATCACTCACTCAGTTCTTAACCCCGCTAGCTTTCTTACTCTTTCTTGAATGTGCCAGAATCATTCATATATCTATGATGGTTCTGTTTTAATGGAGAACCCTGCTACATCTCTATGTATCCCCCAAATTTGGACAACTGTAAAGTGATATTTACCTATAAGATATTACTCTTACACTACTTGTGTCTCTTTGGGACAACCTCCAGTTACATTATACTATGAGCTACTAGAGGAGTCCAATAACCAATTACTTCAAGAAAGAGGCTACAGTGATGACTTTGATCACCAGAGGGCACCACTGGTTCATTAATGGGTTCTTTAATGCTAGTATATTTTATTACTTGATCCATATATAAGGTTCCTTCCCTTATTCAAAGAGCATTTACTGATCACATAGTATGGACCAAGCAATGTTCTATGTCCTGGGGGATACAGCAATGAATAAACAAAATAAGATCTGTATTACTAAGCTTGTTTAAAAACAAATAGAAAGAAATCCCATGTTCATAGATTATAAGACTTAATATTATTAAAATGTCCCTACTACCCAAAGCAATGTATAGATTTCATGCAATCCCAACCAAAATCACAATGACATTTTATACCAAAAAAAATCCAAATTTCATATAGAACCACAAAGTACCAGGAATAATTAAATCAATGTTAAGAAAGAAAAATCCACAACTGATCTTTGACAGTGGTATCAAGAATGCACAATGGGAAAAGGAGAGATAGTCTCTTCAAGAAATGGTGTTGGGAAAACTAAATTTCCACAATCAAAAGACAAATTGGGTCCATACAAAAAACAAACAAAACGAAACAGCTCAAAAGGGTTAAAGACTTAAACATATGTTCTGAAACTTTAAAACTCCTAGAAGAAAACATGAAGGAAAGCTTCATGACATTGGTCTTGGCAATGGCTGCATTGACATGACACCAAAAGCACAGACAAGAATAATAAGCAACTCAAGGAAGATGAGTCTAATCATGAAAGGATTTGGTATAGAATAGTGATTGCCTAGGAAACTATATTTTTTTCCTTCATCATACTATGTATGCTAATCTGATACCTGATATGGAGAAACCTCATCCTTCCAACAGCCCCAAGACCAATCTAGAGCTGTAAGACTTAGGACAAGAACTGGAATGTTGCTTGCCAAAACAAAGTTCATCTCGATGGGTTTAATTAGGATGAGACAAACTTTGGGCCTGTAATAAGTTAAATAATGATACATGTGGTAAAATAAAATAAAAAATATGCCAAAAGTTCAGAACAAGAGATGAATCATAACACTACACAATCAAAATTGGTTTCATTTTAAATAAGAACGGCAGTTAGCAATCCCAAAGGTACTGGAGGTTAGAGTAAAGCCAGCAAGAAAGCAAGGTACTGCTACCAAATTAAAGGGGTTTGTTTGCCTACACGCATCAGAGCCCAATCAAATGCAAACAGGAGTTTGCAGCCGAGAAAGTAAAAGTTTATTAATTAAGGAAATGATGCCACACCAAGAGTCACTGGTGACCCAGTGTTCCAAGAACTGGCTCCCTAGGGTATGGCTTCTAGGGGATGGGTGATACAGAGGACTAAGGGAGTAGGGTCATGTTCTGTATTGATTGGCACAGTGGTCTTAATCTTAACCCTGCTGAAGTCAAAATTAGACTTCTTCCATGCTGGGACAGATGGAGATGGGACCTTGGAGGGAAGCCCTCTTAATTTTATATCATCAATAAAGCTTTCCATGCAACCCCATCCTCCCATGGGAGACTCAGGAAATTCCTTTCCAGTGGTACCCCAAGAACTCTACTTTCACCAATAACTGTGGACAAAAGAGGACACATGCTCACCTGACAAGCTCAGGGAAGGCCTGCATGTCAGTCTTGCAAACTCAAAGTCCTAAAGGAACTACAAAGGATGGTCTGAAATGAAACTTTAACTGAAAGCAGTTATGGTGGGCAGTCAACTCCTAGGCCGGTATCTTTCTTGACAAGGTCAATCTTTACCTTAACTGAGTTTATTGTCTTTTTGCTTCTATGATAATATATCATTGAAATGTTGGGGTAATTTGTAACTTCCTTTTTTTCCGGACCTTTCAGGATACAACCAAATGCCTGGGTTCCAAGATAGAGACCACAGATTCCTTCATTGTTATTGTTACCATGTTAATTGTTGACTATTAACTATCCTGTACCCACCTGAGTGATGTGTCAATCATTTTACTTTTTATCCAATCCCAGAGATTTCCCCACCCTTTGCTTTCTCCCACCTCCCTAATCTATCACCAATGGATTTCATGTAACCCACTTACCTTTATACCTTTAATGGAAGGTATAAAACAAGGTGAAAAACCACCATTCTCCGGAGCATTATCCCAATCCATTGAGGATTCTGCTTCCCGGCAATTGTTGACAGTTTGGCTCAAATAAACTCACAAAAATTCTTTAAAGGCTTGAATATTTTTATGTTAGTATAACAAAAGGACTTTTAAGGGCAGAAGAAGAAGACCAAATAATGCAAATATAGAGATAAGGGGAATAAAATAACTGCATGCTATTATTTAGTAGTGATCATCTGTTGAAGAGCTCCTGAGTGCCAAATGCTGGGTTACACTCTGAAAATGAAATAATGCAACATAAAAAAAAAAAATTAATAATAGTGGCATCTTATCTTTAGGATGTTCTGGGTTTGATGAAAGGAAGACATGTGACAATAATTACAATGCAACATGGTAAATTCTATGATCTAGGAGAATACAATCTAAGGTCAGGTGTGAGAAGAGACTGAAATGGAGAATAGTGAATAGAGCAGCAATCGCCAACCTTTCCGGACCTCACGGACCACCAGTTGGGGACCGCTGGAATAGAGGGTAGTAACTACCAATATTTTTGTCTTTTCAGTATAGTTTCCCCTCCTTTCTCTGGTGACCAAGCTCCTCTTTTCTGGGAAAAGTTTTTTCATGTGTTTTTATGGAGCTATATGAATATTCTTGTGACTCAGGTCTAGTCAAATTAGGTCAGTAATGACCTTGTGTTCCAAGCCAGGCCTTTCTGTGTGTTTTCTTTCAAGGACTCTTGAGAAAGATTGTCCTTCCTCTGAGGCCAGTGAGCTTGACAGGTGGGGGCAGGGCTTCTGGTGGGCATTTTGTAAGCCAAT